GCAACGCCGCCGCGGACTGCAGCCTCGGGCCGGGCCCCGGGGGAGGGGAGGAGGGGGGCTCTGGTGCTTGGGTGCCTGTTGCTGGCTGGTGGCAGTAGGACACTGAGGAGAAGTTACCGTGAATTGGGTGCATTACTCTGCCCGAGGCGTTCGGAGGGATTTCCGCGGTATCCCTTCTGTCTTTAGGTCTCTTCCAGGCCTGCAGGAAGCCGCGGTGATGGACAAAAAAGAGCAGGGGTAAGGGAGGAGTATCACGGGTGAGAAAAGCAACGGAGGAGCACGCAGCATGCCTCGCTTCTTGCCGCTTCCCGCTAGGAAACAAACCCCTGGTCAGACTGACTGCCCCACGACCACACTGGTGCCAGGGTCTTCTGCCTTTGCCGCTTTCATTTCCCCCCCCGAGTGGGACTGTGTGGACTACAGCTCCGTGGTGCGCGGGAACTAAGCCCTTGAACGCCTTCATGTGCCTGTGCCATGGCAGATGCTCCCGGAAGAGTTGATGAAGAAGATGCGATATCTTTGCAGACCAAGCAAGGAAAGGAATTGCACTCAGGCAGGGCTACCTGCGGGAAAGCAGAGAGCTGGCTGAGGAAGAAGTGGCCATTTGGATGCAAAGAGCCTGAGCAACTTCAAGGCTGATTGCTTTCAGAGAGGTGGACTTGGACATAACGGTGAACCATCAAAAGAATCTGCTGAGGACTGTCAAGGACAGGACTGAGACTGGTAACAACCAAGTTGTGGGGTTTGATGGATGCCCTGGAAAATTTGAGCCTCTTGTCTGAACTACCTGCCAAATTTAAACAGTTCAACTAGATTTTTCAGTCCCAAGCAGTGGCTGCTTTGGAGAAGGCAGAGCATTTGGCCTGTCGTGTTGCGGGGCAGTTCAGAGGATGCCCTGGGTCAGCAATGACTTTGGCAGAGCTGCTGAATCCCCATGGCAGTTAACCTGAGCTGGCCTGCGCTGCGCTGCCTGGCCCGCAGGCTGTGTGGTGCTGGGCAACGTCCCTTGGCTGCAGGGTGAGCTTCCCCGGCTGGTGATGGCAGCAGAGGAACCTGCAGGCAGCTCCCACTTGGTCCTGGCAATTACACCACCTGCCTGGCCTTGCCTTTATCCAAGAGTGCAGCAAGGAGTTCTCATGCAAAACTCCTTTCTGTCTGATAGCACAAATGATGAATAGGACTGTTTTCTTGTAGGAAAATCTGGTAACCGCTGGAACGACCAAAGTGGGGTACCCCTTCCACGGGTGGGACCTGCTGGGTGTGCTGTGCGCTAGTTGGAAGCCTGTTGGGTGCTGCACAGCTTGCGAGTCCCAGCATTTAAAGGGACCCAAGATTATCTGTGCTATCCTCTCTTTATGGTGTTAGCTCTAATAATTAGCATTTTTGATACTTTAGGGAGTCTTAGTGCCTTTCTTACTGGGATTGTAATGAACCAGCACCTCCCGGTGCAAAACAGCTGCCTCTTCCCTGAGTTGCTAATACAGGAGTTTTTCTCATTACTGTGATTTGGCAAGGAGAGCAAGTGGTCATGTTTTTTTTATTTTGCTGTCTTTGCATTTTAAAATTAACTTCTTCCACCCTGGAGAGACACAACAAGCATTGCAGATTTTCAAGAATATGCAATTGTATGAGGATTTGCCTGAAACTGGAATGTTCAGTTAAAACTCACTTCATATTTTTCATCTATGAATGGTTTTGGATATCATTGTTTCATAAAACTAAACATTCTGTAAGCTGAATTTCTGCATCAGACTGCTTTACCTGCTGCGCTGATGATGGCAGTTCAAAGATTTTCCTATGCAGCTCACTAAAGATGAATAAAAAATGAATGTAAATAAAAGCTTTTAAGGGAGCTGAAGTCAACATCTGAGGTAAAAGGTGCCTCTGTGTAAAAGCATGTTTCAGAAACAAAACCCAAACGATTGATAGAAATTCTCAGTAACACCCTGGTACCCACCTGGAGCGTGCTGGAAAGTTTAACATGCTTTCTTTTTACTGTGTTTTGATTTCTAGTTCAAATGCTCACAATGGATAGGAAGAGCAAGCAGTTTTCACTTAAACAACAGCTAATTCTTTAACCCACTGTGGACTTTAAAGTAATTACCTTTTTCCTTTTTCTCTTGAAAGCAAACCTCTGTGCAAATTTAGTTTTCAAATGTTCTGTCATGATGATGAGTAATTCTCAGTTTACAGCTTTTGGTTGAATTACTTCCATGGAAATCTCAGTGGTTTTAGCAAGAACTGCTCTTCTTCACTTGATGCAATGCTGGAGGGGATTGGTTTTTGCTCAGTGGCCCAGCAGCAGTAACATTGCCATTGCTAGCAGCGGGCCACTGACCCTGGCCCGGCTCGTGCTGTCGGACCGTGCCGTGTGGGGCAGAGCTCACTAGCAGGTGTCTCTTCTGTGATTAGGAATGGGATGACAGCAAAGGCTTTGGAAGATAGGGGCACAGGGTGGAAGTGGAGACCCCAGAGACCAGCAGGGTAACTCACCAGTGGTCAGTTACCAGTCACTGGAAAAGCACGACCTCGAGAGCTGGGAAATGCCTGCTCTGGCTTAAGGGAAGAGGCAAAGTTTAGGGGCAGAAACAGATCAAGCAGCCATGTGGCCCGTGGAAGCAGCCCCTCTGCCTGTCAGCACCCTGCAGCAGCCACCGCCCACAGCCTGCGGACAGACACGGTCCTGCACTGGTGGGAGGGAGAAGACACCTGGCTCAGCTCCAGGCTCGCCTTTGGTAAGAGCCTGCTCACCTCCGCTTCTGCAACCAGGGCCGGCAAGCACTGCGGCTGGCAGTGCCAACTGCTAGCACCAGCTCCACTGCCTCCTGCGCTCACGGCGAATGCAGGATGCGACTGTGAAGGACTGGCTGCCTTGAACACATAATGGTTCAGCACCAGCTGCAGCCATGAAGGGTGGTGTTAATGAGCGTGTGCTGCTAGTGAACATTGGTCTTGTTTTGAAGTTCAAACTGGCCTGATGTATTGTTCTTCTGAATGCCCCCATCACAGCGGTCTTCAATTCCCTCATACACATACCCATACAGCACGTACCTGTGGCAGCGCTGCTCCTCTTGCTTGTGTGAAGGCCGTCTGACTCTGCACAGCACCAGATGGCTGCTCCCCTGGGTGGCTGCTCCTTCCTGACCCTTGGCAGAGACCCCAGCGCAGTCCAATGGTGCAGCAGCACCCCTCCTCTGCCGCGTGTCAGGGATTCCCCCCTACTGGGGGCTGCCGAATCCAGCAGCCCAGCAGAGGAGAGGCTGCTGCCACACTGTGTCCCTA